GGGAAAGGTTCAGAGTTTTGAATTTGGGTCTAAGGTGCTGGGTTTGCGTGTTGTGGGGTGTGGGTTCAGGGCCTGAGTCCTTGGTTTCGGGTTGAGCTTTCTACATGACCGGGGTTTGGGGCACTATGGTACTTTGCAACGAGAACTTCTTGTGAAATTTCAGAATATAAGATCAGAGACCGGATGGGGTCAAAACGTCGAGAATCACACAGCTTCCAGTGTTTGGGGTTGAGAGTCAGACGGCACTTTTGGAGTTTGGATGTTGGTCTCCAGCTTGGCGCAGCTTGAGCTGACTGCACCTCCTGGAAGCAGGGGAGCGGTAAGCGGCACCATATTAGAATAAGGGCCTTGGACATGCACTCCCGTCAATGTCTCCATGACCACTTGACAAAGAGACCATAGCGCCGATGGGTTCTAAATGACTGCGATGCGGCCTTGGGCTCACACGCGCGTCAGGAGCTTCTGAACAAAGTCAAGGCTGTGAAAGATGAGAAGACGCAGGACATCCTTTTGGCCTTTATCCTCAGTCCTAGCATTTGAAGCTGCTTGATAAGCCAATGGATTATGAGTTCTGATCCCACCTCTACTACACTTCAAAATCCTGCTATTGACAGCAGCAGCAACTGTGGCTATCTGCAATGCTATTGTCTGTGTTGATTCAAAGTTCTGCTGGTCCTTGGTGGAATGACAGCAGAAATTTGGGTATTTCGTACCGTCAGGAGTCTGATGATGACAGTTATCGGAGCAATCATGATTATGATGGTGTAGCTTTCTTGATTGCAGGAGAAAGGCCGCCTGGATGCGGAACACGAAGCAAAGCAGGCCGTACGCCTGAAGTAAGCGCGATGGATGGGTTCATCATGGGCATACCGACTTTTCTCCCCGGAGACCGAACAGTTATTTTGTTCTACAACTCGTGTGCATAAGAACTGTAACACCCCCTGCTGTCGTACTGAAGTACCACTTCGACAGTTTCGCAGCAGATCTTCCAGCCCCGCGAACCAGCACCTTACACGCCATCAGTCCTCAGTAGAAGGCACAGCTCGGGCCCGCGGAAGCACAGGGTTTAGCAACTCGGGTATCGAGCAATATGGCTACAAGCATTGAAATCCTGATTTGACCCAAGTCATTGTCAGTCACACTTTTTATTGTTTATCTCAAAACCTAGTAAGGATATGGGCTTATTGCTTCTTCGTACTAATCAGCAAACTGTAGCAGGTAGCAACCAACCTTGACGTGATATTTCTCAAAACAACACCCATATTATCCCCAATGAAACATCCCTACTCTTGTGATCCCTGATATATCCCTTGTGGTCCCCGGGAAACTTCCGGATTTTGAGAAACCCCCAAATTTCTTTAGGTCTAGGTAACGCTAGTTTCTATTGGACTTTCCATTTTCATTTTCCATGTTTCTTTTTCCTATGAATTTTCACTATTGGGTTCTCCGCTATTAGGAGATAATCCTATACATACTCATATATCCCTGCATCTCTCTATGTATCCCTATTAAACTTCATATAGCCCCCTTTACCCCGATATGACCCTATATAGCCCCATACTGCGCCGGGCCGAAAGTTC